AGGAGGTCAGCAGGTCCTGAGCTCTGACCACAGGGCAGATGAATGTGAAGTGGATTCAGCCACTCAGTCTTTGTTGTATAGTCTACACTCAGAAAACGTTCCCGGGAAGACAGGGCTGCGCTGGGAACCCAGGCTCAGTCTGAGGAGATACGCACTGTCAGCCAGAGGAGGGGCAGAGTCGTGGGCATGGGAGCTCAAGAAAGGAGGGGAAGGCTGGTCGAGGTTGCAACATTCATCCAAATGTCCACAGGCATATTCTCCTGGATCTGGACCCTCCTAAAGAGCAGAAAAATTAATGACACATAGAGATATGTTCATTGGAATGATTCATTGAGGTAGGAACAAGAATATGCCTTAAGGAGAATTCGAGACCTCTGAATAGGCTTCTAACTCTAATGCCTCACATAAATGTGACAACAAATTCAAGACCAGAGAAGAGTTTGGTCAGAACAATGCCATTGCTGGATTTAAAAAAAAAATGAATGTTTTGGGAAACATTTTATCACTGAGTATTTGGATATAAAGCTTAGCTTCTGAACCCAAAACTGCAAGAATAAATATTCTATAGTCAGGTATTTTGTTAAGAAAACAGTTTTTTTTTCTTTTCTTTGTATTTTCAAACTTTTGTCATAACTTTAAATTTAAGAGTTAGATAAAGAGTTGTTATTTTTAAAGTGGCTAAGTTTCACCTGGATGGATTAAGAAAGAATTCTAATGAGGGAGAAAAGCTCTTTTCTTTAAGAGCAACCCCATACCAAGCATATGTTGTTTATGAAAACTGAGGTTTTTAGGGCCCAATCTCCAAGACTAAGGTGGGTAAGAATTTGGGAGAAGAAAAAGAGAAGTCTCCAAGATGGTGAAAGTTCAAGGTCAAAAGAGGAAGCTGGCTGGTGAGAAATTCCCAGCAATTGGAATAGCAATGAATGTCCATGAACAGAAAATCTGAAATTATTCCCTGCCCTGTGCTACTGAATCCTGTGATCCTCTAATTTTTATTAAAAGTCCATGATGCTCATGTCAATGTCAGACAGCAGCTCCAGGATGTGAGAGCAAAGGGAGAAGGTGAGGTCACAAGAGGGGTGACCAAAAATCAACAGAGACAAGACACCTGACTGCCGAAAAAAACGAGAATAGAAGTCACTACAGCTCGTGTCACTCAATCCACCTCCTGGTAATTCTCAACTGTCTTGGGGAGCAGACATATTTCTCACACTAAGAGGACTGGGAAAGTAAACTAAATGTTAACTCCAACTTTCGGCCAAGATACACACTTTGCTTCCTTTCACAACTAAAAGATGGACAACAAATTTAAAACCAAAAAACAACCGGAACTGCCAGAAAATCAAACTGTATGAAAGTCCGATAACCAAGGAGTTAAAGAAGAGATATTCATTCAGATGGGTAGGAGGGACAGAGATGTACAGTGGGGGCAGAGAGGGCTTGCAGTAAGGCAGCAGCTGGTGGACTAAGTGGTCCCACATTCATGTGTGGATAACCCAGGAGGAACAACTGGGGAGCCAGACAGACCATGCAACCCAGGGCTCCAGGGTAGGAAAATAAAGCCTCAAAACCTCTGGCTGTAAAAATATGTAGGAGTTGCAGCAGGAGGAGAAACTCCCAGACTCACAGGAGAGTTCACTGGAGAGACACACAGGATCTTAGAACGTACATAAACCCACCCACCTGAGGATCAGCACCAGAAGGACTCAATTTGTCTGTGGGTAGCAGAGGAAGTGACTGAAAGCCAGCCAAGCAATCAGCATTGTTCCCTCTTGGACCCCTCCCCCACATACAGTGCCACAATGCAGTTACTGGGTTGTCCCACCCTGGCAAATACCTAAGGCTCTGCCCCTTATAATATAATATGCCCACTGAGACAAAAAAAATATATATGGCCCAAATGAAAGAACAGATTAAATCTCCAAAAATAGAACTGAGTGATGAAGTGATAGCCAACACACCAGATGCAGAGTTCAAAACACTGGTAATCAGGATGCTCACAGAAATGGTTGAATATGGTCACAAATTAGAGGAAAAAGTGAAGCCTATGAAAAGTGAAATAAAGAAAAATATACAGGGAACCAACAGTAAAGGGAAGGAAACCAGGACTCAAATCAACAATTTGGAACAGAAGGAAGAAATAAACATCTAACCAGAACAGAATGAAGAAACAAGAATTCAAAAAAATGAAGAGAGGTAAGGAACCTCCAGGACAACTTTAAACATTCCAATACCTGAATCACGGGGGTGCCAGAAGGAGAAGAGGAAGAGCAACAAATTGAAAACTTATGTGAAAAAATAATGGAGAACTTCCCCAATCCAGCAAAGGAAATAGACCTCCACAAAGTCCAAGAGGTTCAGAGAGTCCCAAAGAAGCTGAACCCAAGGAAGATCACACCAAGGCACATCATCAAGTTACCCAAGATTAAAGATAAGGAGAGAATCTTAAAAGCAGCAAGAGAAAAGGAGACAGTTGCCTACAAAAGAGTTCCCATAAGACCATCAGCTGATTTCTCAAGAGAAACCTTGCAGGCAAGATCGGGCTGGAAAGAAGTATTCCAAGTCATGATAGGCAAGGACCTACATCCAAGATTACTATATCCAGCAAAGCTGTCATCTAGAATGGAAGGGCAGATGAAGTGCTTCCCAGATAAGGTCAAGTTAAAGGAGTTTATCATCTCTAACCCCTCATTATATGAAATGTTAAAGGGACTTATCTAAGAAAAAGAAGATGATCAAAAATATGAACAGTAAAATAATAACAAACTCATAACCATCAACAACTGAACCTAAAAAACAAAAAAAAAACAAACTAAGCAAACAACTAGAAAGGAACAGAATCACAGAAATGGAGATCACATGGAGGGCTATCAGTGGGGAAGGGGAGGGGGGAGAATGGGGGAAATGTACAGGGAATAAGTAGCATAATTCATAGGTACAAAATAGACAGGGGGAGGTTGAGAATAGTACAGGAAATGGAGAAGCCAAAGAACTTATATGTATGACCCATGGACATGAACTAAGTGGGGGGGCGGGGGAGCTGGTGGGAAGGGGGATGCAAGGTGGAGGGGAATAAGGGGAGAAAAAAACAGGACAGCTGTAACAGCATGATCAATAAAATATACTATAAAAAGTAAATAAATAAATGTTAACCGAGTAAGCCATAGCATTGGAGAACATCCACCTGACCAGCATCAGGGTTACATGTGTTGCAAAATAATAACCATTATAACAACTAAATTTGACCACCTACATTTGTCCTATTTTTCCTTCACTAAATGCCCAAACCATCCTTTCAATTACATTTATTGGGATCTTGAAGTTTGCTCTAGTATCATCATAAAATGTCATTGCACTCAGTAACTGAAAGCACCATGTAGCAAACACTGCAAGGTTTACTCTACAGCGAAAAATCTGACATAAAAGCTGATTGTCCAAAAATGTAGAGAAAGCTGGATTTGTTCGTTTCAGAATCTTTCTAACTCTGGGGTGTGAGGGTGTGCAGGGACAGAGAGAGAAGAAGCAGCTGTTCGGTATTGTTCCCAGAAGGCCATGTCCCTCCATGGAGGCAGAAAAAGTGCTTCTCCACACCCCCAGAAGTAAACTTCTAACAGGAAGCTTTCTCTGAGGACCTTGTCTCACCAGTTTTCTCCTTTCTCTGGGAAACATTCTTTGACCTTTCTCTAATTCAGGGGCTCCCAACTACAGAGACAATCAACTTGATATGGTGCCCATGCAGCTTCTTAGCAATTATTTTTATGCTGTTTGCATACATTAGGTGATATCCAAGGGATTCCTTATAATAATACCACCCTTACATTAAAATATGCATTTTTAAATGAGAAAGCCTCAGTTTGTTACCCGGGAATTGTCTGCGGCTTCCAGCTACCTATTTCACCTACACATGGATTTTTTTTTTTCAGCAGGGATCCCAAAGGACTATCGGGCTATAGAGCCCTGAAAGTTGGGGCAAAGGGTAACGATATGTGGGCATGTCTACAGCAGTGTATTACACATATGAGCATCATCATTCATGTCTCAGCAGAACACAATACAAATAAAAAAAATGCCACAACTTCAGAACCACTGTCTTACTGTACAACATGCTCCAGTTTTTTTTCCATCCTATTAAAATAGCTGTTTCAAATTTTCTGAAAAACTGCTAGATACAAAACAAACAAGCAACAAATAAATTTTAATTTGTGTAAACCTCTATATAAGTCTGATACCCAACAGGAAGCAAGTACTCTCAAATTTCAGGAGGGTTTATGTACAAAGGGATCATTTATGAAGATCCCAGATGGGTACAGGAGACCCACAAGGAACAGTACAGTAACCTGGGACAAGTAGCAATGGACTTGGTACTGTCTCTGAAACCAAAGGGACAAAGGAAGAAGTTACTGAAACCCTGAAGGAGAGAGTCTTGTGGAGAAGACAATCTCGAGAGAAGCAGTGATCTTCGGAGAAGGAATGTAACCAGTTCAAGGTATTCCCTCTGGGAGAAAACCAGGGGAATAAATACTAAGCTATCTCTACTCCCTCTTTTCCATGGAGTATGATGATCATTAATGAACTCCTATTGGGTAAATCCAAGGAATAAACACTTAATTATTTCCCTGCTTTTTCCAGCATTTGACATGACCGACTATTTCTTCCATCCTAAAAGCCTTTTTTTCCTTTGATTTCTGAGACACGACTCTTTTCATGGTTTGACTTATTCCCTCTCTGATTGCTCCTACTCTAGCTTCTCTACAGATTTCCCCTTCTCATCCTACTCCATAAACAATGGGTTCCCCAGGGGTCTATAAGCAGCCTATCCTTTCTACTTGGGTGATTTCATTCATTTCTCCAACATCTACCACCTCATTTTCAACTTTGCCCCTATGCCCATGCTGCTGGACTTAGTTTGCATTTCCTGAGAAGCAGAACCTGAGACAAGGATTTGAATAAAAGTCATTTATTTTGGAAGTGACACCAGAAGTATCATTAGGAAAGCAGGGAAGTAAGACAGGGTGAAGAGAATCAATAAAGTGAACATTATCAAGCAAGAAACCACAATGGGCAAAGGTTCAGTCTTGCTGGGGAACTCCAGGAAATGGTGTAAAACACACTCTAAAATGGTTCCAGTCAAGGGACACATGAGCATGAGTATTTATACGCAACCCCTGAGTGTCATTGAACAAAGATGACTGCCCGGGGGCATCACTTCTTCAGCACTTCTAACCTTCCACAGCCTCTGAGGGCAATGGAAGCCCCTGAGGGCAGCACAGCCTCTGAGGGCAGTTATTGCAATGGTAACATGGGCCACAACGACACACTGAAATAATAAGGACCAAAGGTATATGGGCAGGACACTGACAGCACCGGCTATGTTTCCAATTTTCTAGTCCAGATCTTTCCATTTTGTCCCAGATTCATGCATCCAACCACCTACTCGGACCTCTACTAGAGGACCTGCTTACAGGAATCTACTGTCTCCTTTCCCAAGCCTACCTCACCTGTTTCTCCCTGTTTGCAGAGGCCAGCATCACCATCCGCCCAGCACCCCACATGAGAGACCTAACCAGTCACATGTGTTGTGCCAGTGGTTGCCAAGCCTCACTGAGTAGCCAACACCCTAAGTATCTCTTGCAGTTCTTTCCTCTTGTCCCATTGTCTTAGTTTAGATCCTATTATTTTTTGGCTGAACTATTGCAATAATCTTTTAATTGGCATTTCTGTCTCTATTCTATTAACACTTACATACTATGTAATTATCTTGCTTAAAATTTTCACCATTACCTAAAGGCAAGATTCTAAGTCTTTAGTTGACTGCAGCCTTCTGTTCCCTCTCTTCATTTCCAGTTTTATCTCTCTTCACTCTAAATACGTAATATAAGCCTGCCTACATGCATGTATTCATAGTTCTCTGCACACGATAGCGTCCAGTCTTTACGTATGTGTTTCCTTCGGCCATGTTTGTCTTTCTTCACATTAGCTACCTGGACAACTCCTACTCACTTCAACATCACTTCTTTTGCCATATTGTTCCAGATGTACCGGGAAGACAGACATCTCTCAGGCTACGCTCCTGCAACACTAACAATTACAAGGCAATAATCCCCTATCTGCTGGGTTGATAATAAAGGCATCCATGGGAATAGTGTGAGTTGTATATCTGAAGATCAGAACACACCAGAAGTATGGTAAAAATACAGAAACTAAGTTGACAAGTATAAGATTGTTCATGATAATGTTGAACGTTAGATGTGAAGACCACAGACCCTTTTTTAAGAGGTCTCTTTTTCATTCAAGGAGTCTGAGTGACAAGTAGTCTCAGTTCTGGGAATCCACTATGATGACTCGAATAAGGCCTTTCTAAAGTAGAACTAGATGATGAAGATTCAGATTAGTGAGTACTTCAGTGGACTTCCTTGCCACATCCATCATAGCTTGCTTTACCGTTAATAAATATTTTCTAATCTGATTAACACTCCTGCCCTTCAGCCCTTCAGGCTGCTGTGCTGATACTTGACCTCTGCTGTTCCAGACCCCCAGCATCCTTACTGAAACTAAGGATTCCAGTCCAAGGGTAGCATCTCCTACCTTCACTCACGGCCTACAGAGGACAGCCACTAACAGCACTTTTCAAAAATGCTGATGCTGTGTTCCCAACATATTTCGCAGTGCTCTGACAAAAGAAGGGCCTTCTGGGCCCCCACAGAGGAAAACAGTTATGCAGGAGGGGGAGAGCATGACAAATCTGTTCCTACATTCTAATTCTCTAAGTTATTTAGTTTCTTTAAGAGATTTCTGGTAGCGACTTCATTTTAGTATATGCCACTGTTGAGTAAAAATTTTAGTCAACCAGCTGAGAAAACTGTTAAAAATATTCCCAGCTGTTCAAACTAGCACATTCCATCTAAAATCCAGTAAGAAAAACTGTCTCAGAAAAATTCAGCCCAATCTAAAATTATTCACCTCACTCTCTGAGTTAGCACGTCCAGAATCCATTCCCACATATATTCATTTCTCCCAGTCTTTTGCTGCATAAATTAGCAAAACCTTGCTGTTTTATTCTTCCAGATTTGACTTTGCAGTTGGCTTCCTGGGATATGCTAGAACATGAGTCTACTTGCCTACAGGCATTAAAGCAAACTGGCACCCTCCAGCAAAGTAACTATCTCCAGTGAGACTATTGCAAAGTTTTCAAGCAGGAAAGGAATAAATTCATCTCCCAGGGGGCTTACTTCTGCTAGCAAGAAAAACTCTGTGGAGTTTGGGGGTTCAACATTCTTATTAAAGTCATCTAAATTCTCCCCAAAGTTACCATCCCTATTTCAAGCTTCCTCTCATTTGTAATAAATGCTCTTATGTTCATATAAGAGATCTGGCAAGGTTGTGAATTCCACTTGTAATGCAGTTTACCCATTTGCAGGATTAGACCTGGGTCTGATTTTCAACTATGTCAGCCCTTTGACAAGAGAGAAGAGATCCTTGCAGATCAGTCACAGAAACCAAAGCTACATTCACAGCCATTAATATAGCCAGAAGAAATGTCCAACATGAGACTGTCCTAACAGAAATCCCACAGTCACTGTCATCCACTACTTGATTTCAAAAATGGGACTAGATTATGGACCCGTCCACACAGCTGCCCAGAAGATCCGGTTTCTCTGTGCATGACCTCTACCCAACATTGTTCCTATCTGCATTCTGTTTTGTGTGGGGGTATCTCAGAATCAAGGTCATGTATGGAAATCTTGTTAGGGAAATACAATGTATATTTTATATACTTAAGATCTCTTTAACACAGAAGGCACATTAGAAAAGATTTGGCCAAGATACAAAGTGAGCCAATCTCCAGTATCTGCTAAACACTGAAAGAGATTATGGGGAAATCCATATGGAAGGAAACGGGAGAAAGATTAGTGGTGGCTACAGATTTTCTATTAAAGAAGAGTTTTGGGGTCACTGTCTTGTTGGAAGGGGGCTTAGGGATTTACCTTGAATCATAGCAAGCACACTGTTCTTACTTAGCTCATTTGTTTATTTCAACTGGCAGCTAGGAGAGCTAATGGAGGTCTAAATCAATAAATGAAATGAACATTCACATCACAACCAAATGGGGAAGGTAAAATGGTACCAAGATTATTACCCCTACTTCACAGAGTGACCTGGGCTGCCTCTAAGTAGCAAAATAAATGACAGGAAAACCCTTGAATAAAGTATTCTACCATATTGATAAAGAGTTCCCCCCTAAATAGTTCTGTGAAAGTTGTGACATGATTTCTGAACAATGAAAATTATGTTAAAGAGTATTTTAAATTCAGATCTTCCAGATGACCTTGGATTTATTATTTCTACACTTTCCACCTCCAAACTGGCACAGGAAAGAAGAAACAAGTGTGTCTTCCCTTCTTTACATTGCACTGGTGGTTTTTAGTTGTTTGTCTGGCATTTTTTTTATCTCCCTAGCATGAAACATTCTTTTGCTTTCAAAGTAGCTTTGAGGCAATGAACAATCATATTTATCTTTGTGGGATTCCTGAGAATTCCTTTTTCTTTTTAATATTTTTTCTTTTGCATTAATAACTATTAAGATTCAAGGTTCCTAACAAGGTAGGAAGCAGTGGCAAGAGGGGTTCAGGTAGGGGGATAAGGAGAGAACACCAGGCTTGGCTAGGCGGGCCACTGCCGGAGGTCCATGGGAGCTCTGGGGCAGAAGGCTCTGGAAGGAGCAGGCTGGGCATCAGTGAATGGTGTATCGTACACTGTCCTGACTGGGGATCAAACCCACCACCTTTTGGTCTACGGGATGATGCTTCAACCAAGTGAGCCACACCAGCCAGGACAAGAATTCTTTTTACATTGCCCGAAGTCTACCTAAGCAGGGAGATACTTTAAAATGTATTTTTGGCATGTATTTCTTGTTTTTTAATCAAGCCGTTTGGTGAAAACCTTGCATCAGAAGTCAAACAGCAAGAACAGAAATGGCTCCCCTCAGAGCCCACTGTGGCCTTGGTGAGGGAGAAAAGGCCTGTGCTGCTACACATACACTTTGCAGATCTCCTGGGTTCTCAGTTCATAGCACTCAACTCCCTGGCTCCTCAGCAGCTCCTTCTCTTCTGCTGCATCTCGAGCTTTCAGCTGAGGAAAGCGGGCCGGAGACGGGATGAAGTCATAGTGCCGGTCCAGATACCGCAGGTAGATGAGCATGTGCAGGGCGTAGGCCAGAACCAGCAGCAGGATCAGGGACATGGCCAGGCCGATCAGAATGGCTGGTGAGAAGGAAGGGGCGCAGTCTCGGGCCTTGGCAAACTGTCCCCCCTTGATGGTAAAGCCTTGGATCTGTCAGGAGAGAAAGAAGAGCTGAAGTGACATACTCTGTCTCTCCTGTGAGTCTGCTTTCCAGACGGGCCGGGGGATCTGGACCCCTCATTCCAAATTTAAGATGTTGTGCCCATGTTTTCTAAATAATTTAAGCACACGATCTAACAAATGTGAGTGTGATTAGGGGACAGTAAAACTAGATTTTCATTCAAGGCTGACCCAGAAACACCTCTAGGATACACGATTGTCATAATTAAGAGGCTCATGAAATGCAAGGCTCTGAAATAAAACCTTTATTTCAATGATCTGAAATAAACCTTCTTTCAATCTGATCCTTAGGAGTGTTCTCATTCATAAACCACAACTGCTGCAGTGTCTCTGAGATTCAATCACACTCAAAATTTTATGTGTTAGTATAAATTTCACAAAGAATTTCATCTCAGTTCTTCTGCCTTTGATTCTGTTGACAGAAATTACACAGGAAACTCTTTTAAGGGAAAAATAACATGGTTCCCAATTATGTAAAGCATGGAAAATAATAAAAGCTAACACTTATTGAAGGTTTTTTATGTATCAGATGCTGTCTAACTCATTTAATATTTACAGGAGCCTGTAAGTTACTACTTTATCTCTTATGGGTGAGGAGACTGCAGCACAGATAAGTTAAGTAACTTGCCCAGAGTCACGCAGCAATAAGTACAGTAAAGCTATAAAGTGAAAGGCAGCCAGTCTAGCTTCAGAGTCCCTTGCCAGTTGACTGCTCCTAACTCCTGGTGTGTTCTGTCTCTTCTCCCGCCCATCATCACCTCTCTCTTTTTATCTGTTGTGTCCTGCAGACTCATACTGTTTTGGGAAGAGCTATGTAGCTGCGGCCCCTCCTTACTTCCTACCGAGAGTACAAAGGAAAGCTTTCCCATATGTGCAAATGAAGTGGTGTAATTAGATGGAACCCAGAGAGGTTCAAGTCAACAACCTGGCTCTGATATCTAAATACTGTCACAATGAAAGAAACAAGGCTACAGGGTAATTACTTTAAAGGGAGCAATCAGTTCTGAAGGCAACCCCTACATTTAGCTGGCTTTTACAATATAACCCTACACTGTGTCACTTCATTTAGATACCTGGTCAATTTTTTTAAAGTACATCAGAAAATTGAATTATCCATGAGTGCTTTACTGAGAAGTCATTTTTATGACTTAAGTAGGCACAGTAGCATTTTTCTGTGCTAAACTGATTGTAGCCACTCACCGTGCCACAGACTTTCGGGGCCTTGCTCACCCGATTGTCTGCTCTAGAGTGAATCCAAAACAGCTTCTGAAGGAGATTCTCACCTGGCTTCTGGGGGCCTTGGCCTGCCCCCTCTGTGAGGAGGTAACATGGCCTAGTCTTCGAATTAGTGATTGAACAGTTACCAGAGATGGCCTCATTCGATGCTGCAACTGCAGCCGAGGAGAATGTCCTCACACTGACTGCCCTGTAATTCTTAACAAGACTTGGTGAGTCAAACAGTATCTATGGACAATGCTGAAGGTATATTGTCCGTCCATTTTCTGAACTAGAGATCGCAAGTACTGTGTATCAAGCCCACAGGTGAGTTTTGTTTGGCCCAGAGCTCTGAACACCCTGAAAATTTCCCATTAGAATCCAGATGTCCAGCTTCTACTGAAAAGTCAAAAGATCTAGCAATACTTGGTCTGCATTCCTACAAAGCAAAGGTATCTGTAGTTGAATAACACATGCTCTTTGTGATGCTGGCTACACTTTGCCAGCATCCCCAGCTGGCCTACACAAGACATCTACACTTCATTCCTAGAACAAGCCAGGTCAGCAAAGCTGCATGTGTGGGACGCAGCCTTCCTGCACACCCCTGAGCCACCATCACCACCATCGCCTCTTCCTGGATTGAGCTTGCATTCTGCCGCGTGCTTACATTAAGGGTGTTTCAACAACCCCCAGTGCTGCGTTCACTGAAGGCCACCGTCCAAGATGTTGGTACCTGCTGCACAACAGGGATGGACGTAGTGCTCACACACACATTTTCAGTAGTGTTACAGAGCCCATGAAAGCAGGTGACCGGGTGATTCCTTCTCATGCTGGCTGCCCCAAAGCTTCAGAGACAAAGTACTGAGCCTGCTCCAGCCAGGGCAGAGAGATGGGCTTGTGGTTTTGTGTACCAGCCTCACCAGATCTAACTGATCTTTCCTTCCTTTGTTTTGCTTTATCCTCATGTCTTGGCCAATTTAGCAAAATTATTTTTCTTGTAGTATGTCTGTAAGTCACCTTAAGTCATGTCTGAAACAAGGTGGAGGCATAAATCAGTCACTTCTTCCATTCTAACTAGGTGAGATTATGTGTAAATTAGTCCTTTTCATTATTACCATCTTATTGTCCTTTCTTCCTGCTTCTTTTTTTAAAGGGCAAGAGAGAGAATATATATATAAAAGTGTTAGAGAGTCTTTGGAGTTGGACTATCCAGAACTCAAATTCTATCATTTACCAGGGATAACGTTTTGAAAAATTACGTAATCATCAGTGCTCCAGTCACCTCATCTGAAAAACAATGGCCACAGTCCTGACACACAGAGGGGACTCATAAACAGTAGTCATTGCTAATCCATGCCTGACAGGGTCCTGGTGTTGCCATGTATATTAGGCAATGAATTCTTTACATCTGTAAGGATAGGTAGTAAACTGAGAAGGCGAAGTAACTTGCCCAGGTGGCTGAGACGTAATTGGAAACCAGTGCTGTTGGGCTCCAGAATGCAAGCTCCCTCCCTACCCCACGCTGCTTCTCACCTCTCCAAGGCCGGGGTTGAAGGTGTAAATATATATACAAGGTCCAGCAGGAGCAAGGCTTGCTGGAGTGTGGGAGGTAGAGTACGAGAGTATCTTTCACGAGATGGGCAGCAGGTAGAACATTTCACCTAAAATGTCAGGGTGTGCTTGACTGTGATATTGTTATGTTACAGAATTATATGCTTAGGACTTTGTAATAAATGATTTTGTAATAAAAAAGGCATTATTTGTGCCAGAGTCTGTATGTATATGTGTATGTATATACATATTTTTCCCATGCATATGTATATATATGGAAAAGACTGGAAAATACCCATAAAAGGGACAGCCCTGCCTGGTATTTCAGTGAGTTGCAAGAACAAGTCAAAGTTTTTCTCACAGGTAAACAGAAGAACCTGACAGATGTCTCTCAGCCTGAGGTTCTAGTGGTGAAAAAGAACCTCTTCTGCCCCCATGCCTTTCCCCAAATACTTTTAAGAGGATCTTTCAGATATTTTTGACTCCCTGGCTGACAGCTCCATTCCTACACTAACTACCAAAGCTGTCACTCACACCACAGCTGTACTTCTTATCTCCCTGACAGGATCACTGCTCCACTCCCTGAAGGAAATAAAATAATTGTTTGATAATTCCTCTCCCTAGAAGGGCCTCTTGCTCCAGGACGTGTCAGTCGCTGGGCTTCAGGCCACAGCTTCGCTCGGGCTTAGGCTGCTGGCATTCCTCCCTGATAATTTATTAGTGAGCGGACGCACCTGAATGTAAAATGAAGCGGGCTGGTGGGTATGTAGGGAGAGGAGATACCCTATCCTATCCAGTTTCACACCTTAGAGGATAAAGAAAAAATACTTCTGTAAAGGTATCCACTCATTTCTTTCCCTTAAATAGCTGGGTTTCTATTTCAGGTGTTTTCAAACAAACACTGAGTTTCTTAGACACCAAATACACAGAAGAATATGTTTCAGTTTATTACCTGGAAATCAACAAAAGTGACCTCCCACGAGCTTGATACATCATCCACGTCGCTGGGCAACAGGAGGGCATCGTACTGCTGTAGGCTGCTGACGCGCTGGCAGTGATAGGAATAACTCGAAGGAGCATATATGCCAGTTGCATTAAAAGTTGCTTGGATTGAATTATTAAAAATAACTTCAATTTGGTGCAAGCTAAACCAGCTCTGTCTGGAAAACTTGTTGTAATTGGTAAGGGTGAATCTGAAAGTAATCATAAAACAGCGTTACCCCAAAGCACAGCTACCTTTGCTGACACAGGACACCGTCTATAAACAGTACAATCGCGCCCTCTTTTGTCAGATAGTAGAACTGGCTCGAAGGCAGCCTTTCACTTTGCTCCTGAACCAGAGCTTCTGGCTGGGTGGGAATGAAAGCAGAAGACCGGGCAACCCCCCAAAGTGAGCGATACAATTCCTACAAAAGGACAGACACAAAAAGCTTGGTGTTTTTCCTGTTTTAGAATCAACACTTGATTTTGTTATTGCAAAAAGAATTGAGAAAAACTTAAATGGACTTCAGTATGGAATTACCTAAATAAATAATGGTCAAAATTTATAGTAATGGCTCTTACTATGTGTCAAGCACTCATCTGTGTTTTTTATGTACATTTTCTTTAACCTCCACTACAATGCAGAAGATAGATAATATTATCCTCATTTTACAAATGAGGAATGTAAGACACAGAGGGGTTAAATATATAACTTGCGCGAGTTCACCCACAGGGCAAGTATTAGAGCCGAGCTTTGAATGCAATCTGGAGACCAGAGCCCTAGTTCTCAGGCATTTTAGAATTGAATGCTCTCCAGCCATAAACATGTTATAGTGTGCATATGCCATGATCATTTTCATCCTTTAAAGAAAAAGTGTGACTGCACAGAAAAAAATCCTGGAAAGACAGAGATCAAAATGTTAATAGTGATTACAAATGGTGGTTGAATTATGGGTGATTTTCATTTTCTTCTTTTGATGATAGCTCAATATTTTCTGAATTTTTCTGTTACCAATGGACACGTATTACCGTATCTTAGTTTAGGCTCCTACAGACGCAGACCCTGAGACAAGAATATACAAATACAGGGAGTATTTTTGGAATGTGATCCCAAATTTGGTAATTTAATTATTCAAAATATGTAGAGTGGAGAGAAGATAAATAACAAAAGAATGTTAGGTGGCCAAAAAGGACACATTATTAAGCAAGTTTCCACTCTGGGCAGATGGGACCTGATGCGCATGGGGAATGCTGGGAGCCACAGCAGAAGACGAGCCTCTGAGTCGCCTCACAGAGGGTGAGGGAGCCGGGGCGTTTCTGGACCTCTGTGGGTCAGCGGCTCTGGGCTTCTGGGGTAGCGATGGGAGGCAGTGGGTCCGGCTGGCCAGAGAAAACTTTCAGGCAAAGAAAGACTGGCAATTGAAAGTTGAGGGAGTGGACTGCTGTGCTCTCCAGTGGAAATGCCCGAGGGGATATATAGGTACTGACAGTGTCTGTGCACACCTTTATCACCAGAAAAAATAATCATAAGCTCTTTTCCTTTTGGTAAAAATGTATGATTTGAATAAAAAATATTCATTTCTATATCAAACAGATACACACACATGTGTTTATTGTGGGATTCTATTTTTCTTACAGGGTTTCTCTGAAAGGTGAAGGCATGCATTTCCTCCATGATTAGCAGTGAAACACTGATGTTCCATTGTATGTAGGCAAGTGTTCTGTGGAGAGAGCTTTCCAAGGTTAGACATGGTAAACACTGGGTTAACCAAGGTACCAAGCACAACAACCTTCCTACAGAGCTTGTCTTCACAGAAACCTTAATATACACATCGACCCTACGAATCTCCAAGAGGAGCATGTGGTGTGCAGTCTTTCTCAAGTGTGTCTGACCACAGAATGCCTCTTCGGGGCAATCTTCTAAACACTTGCAGAGAGTGGACGCAGGTCACAGATCGCAGCTTAGGAGAGGCTGCCCATAAACATTCTGCAGGTTTTCATGTAATGTGAAAGACACAGCTGCTGTCTCCACTAAGAGGTGGATCTTATGGCAATGGAAACAGATTTTTATAAGAAAAATATGTAATTAATTAAAATTGCCACCCTGCACCCTTCCTTAGAGCAGCTCCTAACTGCTTGGATAAACCACTTCTGGCGGATGCGCACGTCCACACATGAACACAGAAAAATGTAGGCCCGTGTCAACCGTCCACTAGGGGTTTCAGCTAACAGACACTTTCTCGTTATTGCTGAAGGACGTGTGGTTCATCGAAAGGGGCTATACAGAACATAACTTCAACCCAGAGCCTCAGCCCTTGGAGCTTTCAATATGTTTTATCCTTTGCTCAGAGGAAAAGAGTAACACATTCTCACATTCATGTACTCATGTGTTCTCTAGGTCCCTCAGTGAGGAAACTACAGATGCTTTGGTAAAAACTAAGGAAAGTATTACTATAAGATCCCATCACATGACACCACTACTTTTCAGGGTAATTAGGTACATGTGACATTTCGCATGTCGCTGCTTAGCACGCAGCAGGCCCTCGGTGCTGACGTGTTGAATGAATAAACACTGTGTGTGGAGCTAATATGAAGTGCTGAGCCTATGGAACCCCAAAGTGGTCTCCATACCTACCTTATATCAAGACCTTTGGGATTTTCAGCATCGTCGAATTTCAGAGACAATCTAAGAACACAGAAACAACACAGTCCATCAAAGTGGGAATAACCCTTACTTCACACTACACTCAATAATTACTTTAAAATGAATCATGGACCTACATGTAACAACTAAAACTAAAAAACTTAGTGAAGAAACATAAAAAGACATTTTTGCAATGATTTCTTTAAAAATCACAAAAGTATGAACCATAAAAAAATCAATAAATTGCACTTTATTAAATTCAAAAACTTTGCTCTTCAAAAGACACCATTAAGAACACAAAAAAGGCAAACCATTAAATGGGAGAAAATATTCACAACACATACACATAGAGAATTTGTGTCTGGAATATAACAAGTAGCATTAACAATTCAATAATAAGAAGACAACCTGTGCACCAAAAGAAGGGGTTCCCTGGAAAGTAACCTCACAGGGTGATCTGATCATGAATTCCTAACTGGGCAGGTCATGGCAGGTAGTCAGGCCCCAGGCATATACCTTGTTATTAAGAGGCTTATCTTGGTCTTAAGTAAGCCTTGCCCATTGTTCCTGTGCATCTAAGTTAACACAACTTTGAAATAAGTGTAACCGCCCTCAAAAAAGCCCATAATCTTACTAACTATCCTGTAATTCAATCACTGCTTTGCATTCCCCACCTCCGTGCAACCTTCCTTACCATCCAGCCTTAATTTCAAATGCGTGGAAGAAGCTGAAAAACTGATATTCTCCAAAGCATTTGGGACCTTACTCTCCAGCACACGTCATCAGCTTGGCTCAAATAAACTCTTATAAAAAAAATCTCCAGAAAGTTCAGACATTTCTTATGTCAACAAAAACCAAACTTAAAAATGATCGAGAGACAGGCACTTCACAAAGAAGATATACTCACGGCCAGTGAGCACAGGAGAAGATGCTCAGTGTCGTCAGTCATCAGGAAAATACAAAGTGAAACCACTGTACGATGCCCCTGGTGCAGAAATGAGCACGGCTCAAACTTTTAAAAAAATATCTACACTTAAGTTTTTTAATATTGTCACTAAACAGCAAGTGGGGTCCTCCTGCCTACAGCCACCCTGTAGGAAAAATTCCAGAGGCAGTGTTTTGGTGATAAGGGAAAGGAGTTATTCAAAAGCTACACAATTTTGGAATAACAGCTTTCCATTCGTGTTAGCCACTTAAGCCTATTAATTAAGGCTAAAATCTTTAACTCCTGAGTTCCCCTATGTCCCCCGCATTAGTTTTTAATTATCTTACTTCTAAGGATTAGTCTACAAACAAAACAACGTAAGATAAAACAGCTACACAGTTTAGGGAGAATGGCAGGCTTCTGCCTCAGAACCCTTCTTCGCCTCTAGAACTCTCGAAGAAGAACAACCCTGCCACCCTCTGCCAGGCCAGCGTGAGCCCAGACTGCACCTGGAGTTTCTTCTCCCATGCAAAACACCGTCCTTTGGGAAATGCAGGCAGCTGCAGCTCAATCATCCAAGCATCCTTGAGGAAAAGGGCCTGAGAGCCAGTCTCTGCCCTCCTCTCATTTTAAATCTTGTGCTCATACTTCCAAGCACTCTAGAGTCGTTCAGCTTCTCAGCCAGTCCTGTCCTAGACTGCTTACCATTGCCTCGGGCAACCTCCTCCTACAGCCCCTCCCTTACAGATCCTCCCCAGAGATCTGATCACTACTGATCTCTATGTCAATATCTATATTTATTCACAATTTCCTGAAAGTTCACTTGAGATTTTCTGGAGCAGAGACAAATTATTCCCTATCCATAGGAATAAGCACTTAGGTTCCCTTTTAACCTTGTTCCTCCCCCTGAGAACGTGTTGGGAGCCAGATGTCACCCCCGCACCTGCTGCAGTTTGTGACACATGTGAGGGACACCAGAATTATTACAATAGGCTAGTAATCCAGGACAAAACAGGAAACAGAAAAACTGAGACAGATAGTTAAACGGCCAGTTTACTGCCATCTAGTAAATTGCAAAATTCTGTCTTCCCTAACCAAGGGCACTGGAGAGTAAATCATTTACACTTCTTCTCCCGTATCAGAGGGTAAATTGCTTAAATCACTCTCCTCAGGGAGACAGATAACAAAAATCCAATTAGTGCCATTTGTGCCAACCACACCCAGGGATGGACGGAGTAGGGGAAATAAATCCCATTTGGGTGTATCAGCATAAAGCTGAAGAATACTGTATTAAGACCATCCCCTAAGACTTCCCCTGAACTCCATTTGCACAAGGTCCCAGGGTGCTCTCTCCCTCCCAGGGCACGCCCATGCCTTTCTTCTCTCTCAGGGTTGCCCCTCCTATACCCTAAAGGTCCCCAACATAGCCCTGGAACCAGGGGCACAATGGGCAACTGCAGCTCAGCCCAGCTAACCCCTGAACCTGTCTCCAAGAGCCCCTTTTATCTGACTTCCCGATGAGTCAAAGCAGCCCAGTGTAGGCTCTCTCCTGTTGCTTCTTCTATCCTAAGCCCTTCCTTGTTTCACTGTCCCCAACTTTATTAACATACTCTGACAGTCCTCTAGACTTATAGGTGCAGAGCATGAGGATAGCTCATGAGGGGCGGGGGTTGGGGAGTGGAGGGACTGAGCAAAAAGGAAAAAGGACTCATGGACATGGACAACAGGGTGTTGATTGCTGGGGGAGGTGGGTATAAGGGGACTAAGTGGTAATGGAAAAAAATACAATAAAGATTAAATAAAAAAACTTTCCTGGGAAAGAAAAAGGGTACATACCTGGGTACCTACATCAGAATGTAAGCAGATGAGTTTCACTAGCCTTTGTGTGGGAGCCAATAGCTCCCCGTAATAGAGACAGATGGCTGCCAGTCTAACACCATGGTAAGTGAACACGTGTCTCCAAGGGGGTGATGAGAGGCCTCTCCAGGTTTCCAAATCCTGGGATGCCTCCCCAGTCCTGAGCTCATTACTATCTGACGACTAAACATTTTCCTCTGAAAAAGAATCTCTTACTGAACCATGAGGCTTATCTTTTAACCCAGGTCTCAATGAACAGTATTCAGAAATTACTAACCATGTGGAAACAAAAACATTTTCTCTACAGTCCACTGTGACCACACCAATGTTGGTGAGGATGTGAAACAACAGGAACTCTCATAAGATGATGGTGGAAAGGGAAATGGTATAAGTACTTTTAAAAAGTTGGCAGTTTCTTAAAATATTAAACATATATCTACGATATGTTCCAGCCATTCCACTCCTAGGTATTTATCTAAGAGAAATGAAATATGTGTTCCTACAAAGACATACATGACTGTTTACTGCCAGTTTATTTGGAAAGTTTTCCAAAAAGTTCAGAAAAAAAACAAATTTCCATCAAGAGGTCGATGGTCTCAAGAAGTTGTGATATATGCATATAATGGTGTATTTATTACTCAGCAATAAAAAGGAACCTGCCCTTAATAAGTGCAATAACACGGAAGAGTATTAAAATCATTATGCTAAAGTGAAAGAAACCAAACTATAAAAGCATGCACGCTATATGATCACATTTATATAAAATTGGAGGAAGCACAAACTGACCTAGGATGACAGACAGCAGTTCAGGGGCTGCCTGGGGAGGTGGCGGGTTGGTGGGGGGGCGGGGGGGTGGATCAGCGATGGCTTCCCAAGGAGCCCAGGAAACCTTGAGGGTGACGGAAGTGGTTGCTGCGTGGACTGTGGTGAGGGTTTCATAGGGGGATACATGTGTCAGAGCTGATTAAACTGTACACTCAAAATGCTGTTTGGGCATTTCACTCACATTTCAATAGGTTAAAATAGGAATGATAAACTAAATAAATAATTAAAGGGGAAAATGTTAAAAATGTAAATGTACAACAGATGACAATGGCACGTGACATTATAACATATAGAAGTTATTGCATCTCAATATGTTATGAAACCAAAAAAGCAAAAGTACCTAGTTATAAGTTTTAAAAATACCATGCATCGCCCTGACTGGCGTAGCTCAGTGGATTGAGCGCGGGCTGCGAACCAAAGTGTCGCAGGTTTGATTCCCAGTCAGGGCACATGCCTGGGTTGCGAGTCATGACCCCCAGCAACCACATATTGATGTTTCTCTCTCTCTCTCTTTCTCTCTCCCTTCCCTCTCTAAAAAAAAAATAAATGAATAAAATATTTAAAAAATACCATGCATTTATAATCTCATTCATTTGGTTCTACTTACTAGGAAATACAAATGTCAGTGGTTGAGTTGGTTTATTTTAATGCCATCTATGGAAAAAAGAAAGGGATATCTAAAATAAACTATAAATAAGATTGCTAAGAGAAAAATTTTTATTTTCTAACATCATAAGCTTAGCCACCTTAGATATGCTCATTAACAAACACACTAGAAGCTGATTTACTCAGTAAAGCAAGTTTTCAGCAGTATTTTGATAGTCTGTTACAAATTACTGCAAATACTTTAAAGAACTAAAATGCATATCTTGAATGCACTTCATAAATTTGAGTGGTCACTCATTCTAACAGAAATTTCCCTAGTTCTGTTGTGTGACAGCTAGCAATGAGCAGCCAGAGGGGAAAGAAAGCAGGGCCCGGACCATTGCAATTGAACAAAGAACTTAACACAGGAGGCTGCAAACAAGAGGGAGACCTGTCTCACCAACCAACTCGGCAGGCCTGAGCCTGGTCTGACAAGATTGCCCATCATTCCAAACATCACAAGCAAAACTATGATAGCACCGGAGGAGGGGAGCCCTTGAAAGTCTGTGTATCGTCCCCACCAGCCAGGAAAGAAAGCCTCTGTAACTGTCCCAAGATCTGGAAGTGAGAGGGGAAGGGAGAACCTAGAAACTGACTAAAGCGTACAACGCTAACCCGTGAATGTCAAGGGTCAGCACACTCAGATTATAGCTGAGTGCCCACTGATGGCCAGGTGCTCAAAGGTATAGAACAGTTTACTAACAAACTTACTAACAAATTTATTTCCTCTATACAGGTGGCATTCAGATTAGCCGGGTGCCTACTTACAGCTCTGTGCTTGTGTGTTTTC